AGCAGGAATATGTCTTTTCCAACGGAGATGTCAGGAAGTGTCATGAAGCAGGAGTAACCCTTGGCAAGGAGCCTAGCGCCCTGCCGGGACAGGGCGGCCAGGAACTATCCCACCTCGCGCCCCGCCCCCGCGCCCCTAATCCGGGTACAGAAGAAAGCCCGAAAACGTGCTGTACTTGTTGTTGTTGCCTCCGTGCGCCTTCCCGCCGTCCAGCTTCACGTACACCTCGTCGCCTGAGTCGAGGTGCAACACCACGCTGTTACTGGCGTAGTCGTAGTTCTGGTCCGCGTCCTGAGCGATGGCGCTGGCCCGGACCTGGGGACGAGGCGCGGGACAGGTGAGCCCTGGCACCTCTTCCCAGCCCAGCGGGACCTGCCGCGCCCTCGGGCCGGCCTTCCCGCCGACTGCGTCAGGGTCAACGCACGAACACCCGCCCCATGCTAGATCCCCAACTTGGCCAACCCCTTCCCGGTTCTCTCCTCTCCACAGCCAGAAAGTCCGGGAAAGAGGGAGAGGGGGCTTCATGGACACCGACTCAGCAACTAAGGGTAAAAACCAGGGATCAGGGCAACAGGCAAGGAGGATGGAGTGTAAAGGGACAACCGAGGTGCACGAGGGAGTCAAAGGACACAGGTTTCCAAAGAGCCCAGGCGGCTGTGGGCGGGGTCGTCAGTGGCTGGGGAGTGCAGTTGGACAAATGGGTCTCAGAGCGCTCCTGGCCCAGCCTCTGGCGTTGTGTTCCTGTAAGCGCAACCGGGGCGCGCTGGAAAGCCGGGTGCTGTGACGGCGTTGCCGCGCGTTCTTTCCCCGGGCCCGCTAGAGCGCTCCCGGGTGGGGAGAGAGAGGTCGGTCCCCCCGGCGGCTCTGGGCGCGGGCTGGGATCTGTGGGGCCGACCGGGATGGGGGTCACTGACCTGCCCATTCTTGCAGAGGTCCGCCCACATGCTGGTGCCGTCGCCGCCGCGCATGAGGATGTGGTAGGTGAAGAAGTAGATGCCGCGCACCTGGCAGCTGAACTTGCCAGTGGTGGGGTCGTAGTGATTGCCGAGATTGGTGACCACGTCGTCGAACTTGAGCACCTCGTAGCCTTCGTGAGGGCTCTTGAGACCCACATAGAAAGCGATCTTGGGGCCGCTGAAGGCGGCGCTCAGCGCACTGGTCACTTCGCTTTCCGAGTCGCCGCCACCCCCGGTTCCACCGCCCACCACCCCGGCGCCCCCAGCCGTGCCCGCGGCCCGCGGTCAGCTGCAGCCCAGGCAGCCCCGGCCGCCCTGAGTCCCCCTTCTCTCCCGGTGGGCCCCTGGGTCCAGGCGGGCCCGGCTCTCCACGGGGTCCCCGCGGTCCTGGCTTGCCCGCTGGCCTTGGGGGC